GTCTTGATCTCCTGACCTCGTGATCCGCCCATCTCAGCCTCCAAAAGTGCTGGGATTACAGGCGTGAGCCACCGCTCCCGGCCTTCTTAATTTTTATTTTAAGTTCAGGGGTACATGTGCAGATTTGTTGCATAGGTATATTTATGTTATGGGTATTTGTTGTACAGATTATTTCACCATCCAGGTTTTTTGTTTGTTTGTTTGTTTGTTTGTTTTGACACGGAGTCTGGCTCTGTCGCCCCGGCTGGAGTGCAGTGGCGGGATCTCGGCTCATTGCAAGCTCCGCCTCCCGGGTTCACGCCATTCTCCTGCCTCAGCCCCCAAGTAGCTGGGACTACAGGCGCCCGCCGCCACGCCCGGCTAGTTTTTTGTATTTTAGTAGAGATGGTGTTTCACCGTGTTAGCCAGGATGGTCTCGATCTCCTGACCTCATGATCCGCCCGCCTTGGCCTCCCAAAGTGCTGGGATTACAGGCGTGAGCCACCGCGCCCAGCCATCATCCAGGTATTAACCCTAGTACCCATTAGTTATTTTTCCCGATCCTCTCCCTCCTCTCACCTTCCACCCTCTGAAAGGCTGGAGTATGTGTTGTTCCCCTCTGTGTGTCCATGTGTTCTCATCATTTAGCTACCAGTTGTAAGTGAGAACATGTGCTGTTTGGTTTTCTGTTCCCGTGTTAGTTTGCTAAGGATAATGGCCTCCAGCTCCATCCATGTCCCTGCAAAGGACATAATCTCATTCTTTTTTATGGCTGCATAGTATTCTATGGTGTATAATGTACCACATTTTCTTTATCCAGTCTATCAATGATGGGAATTTAGGTTGATTCCATGTCTTTTCTATTGTGAATAGTGCTACAATGAACATAGGTATGCATGTGTCTTTATAATAGAATGATTTCTATTCCTTCGGGTTTATACCCAGTAATAGGATTGCTGGGCCATATGGTATTTCTGTCTTTAGGTCTCTGAGGAATTGCCACACTGTCTTCCACAATGGCTGAATGAATTTAAACTCCCACCAACAGTGTGCAAGCATTTCTTTTTCCTCCACAACCTCACCAGCATCCATCATTTTTTTACTTTTCAATAACAGTCATTCTGACTGATGTTGCTCATTGTGGTTTTGATTTGCATTTCTCTATTGATCAGTGATGTGGAGCTTTTTTTCATATGCTTGCTGGACACATGTATGTCTTCTTTAGAAAAGTGTCTGTTCATGTCCTTTGCTTACTTTTTAATGGAGTTATTTGTTTTTTTCTTGTAAATCTGTTTAAGTTCTTTATAGATGTTGGATATTAGACATTTGTCAGATGCATGGATTGCAAAGCTTTTCCCCCATTCTGTATGTTGTCTGTTTATTAAACAGTTTTATGTCCATAGAGTATATGAAGGAACTGAGCAATGAGCTTTAGATACATGATTTATCAGCTTTGTAAGATGCTGAATACAAAGAAATGATTTTTAGTATGTAAATAGAAGAAATGAATGATAAAGAAAAACAAGCTATTTAAATTCCACAATTGCTATTTAAAAGGCACTAGCTTGGTGGTACAGGGTACAAAATTGTGTAAGTCATGGATCTGACTTGATTGTCTCCTAGGGGAGATGCCATCCACACCATGAATTACAACACACAGCAGATATGCCACAGAAGAGTGACAAAAATTTGACTCCTCGTTCCAAAGTCAAAAGATGGCAAGACTTCATTTGGGGGCAGGAATCAAGAAAAAATTCTGGGATGAGCTTTCATTTGCAATGTTCAGGCCATGATATAGACATTTTTGCATAAGGAATAAATCATAGGTAGCATGAAGTGGGGAATTAGGGAATGCCCAGGGAATGCTGAAGAGGACCTTTTGGTTTGCCCAGAGAATTGTGCTCCTAAAAGGCAGAGATCAAGACAAAAAAGTAAGCTGTAATCACTTTTGAAGGACTTTGCATTCCATGGGATTTGAATTTGGACAAAATAGTATGGGGAGTTGTTGAAAGTTTCTGAGAAAAGCCTATCAGAGTGAGAAAAATTATTCCAGAAAAAATAACCATTCTCTAGCACATTTGAGAGAGCTCAGAGGTGGGGAAAACCAGAAGCTGTTATCACAATAAGTCTAGTTGAAAGATAATGAGAGTCTACATTGGGCTGGTAGCAGTGGAAAATGAAGAAAAACACAAAGGTTTTATACAAGGAGAATCTATAGGACTCAACCGCTCATTGTGGAATAAAAAAGATTTAAAAAGTGGATTTCAACCTTGGGTGGATAAAAAATGGTGGCACCAACAATAGTAACATGAAAAATGAGAAAGTGGGACTCTTTTGGTGGGTTTGGTTAGGTATCATTGGAATTTGGGTGCTCCAATCACATCTAAAAACTTATAAAAACTTAGAAAGAGTAGTTCAAGGGAGATATATTGAGGGGTTTGAGAATCTGTTGAAGCAGAAGAGAGTGTGAGTCCCCTCCAGAAAGAATTTTGGATTCTATTTAAGAAATATTTAATGAGTTCCTAATAGTGCCAGGGACTGTGCCGGGCATGATAAGGAAAACAAATATACAAAACAGATCCCTTAAAAAGTTCAGAATCTAGTAAGTTTCTCATTCTGGTTCTATCACTTATTTGCTGTATAACCTAGGGAAATTAACATTTCGAGATTGTTCAGCTTGCTTCTATTCTAGGAATATTGCCGTGTATATGCTTAACCACTTAGGTGGTGGCGTTAGATTTGCCAGGTGTAAAATTTTTTAGCATCATAGGGGAGCTCATGGGAAATGTTATTATGAACAGTCATAAGGGCTAGTGGAGGCAAGGAATTAGGTGATAGCCAAAATCCCAGTCAGAGTGAAGGAGCACAACACATGGGAAACATTTAGAGAAGTCTCTGAGGTTAGAACCGAAGCCAAAGCCTTCCACTAGCGCGTCACTTTCCGACAGTGCAAGCCAGCAGTGGCCTTGAAGCACTCCCATGCTGAGCTTAAGCACTGGATCCAGAAGCCAGAGGAATAACATAGACATTTCTAAAAAGGAACCCTGTATAGTAGAGGACAGTAGAGAAGTGTGAAAATGGCAGACATCTTCACACTGTTCTGGTGTTTAGTTATTCAATTGATACTTATTGAGTACTTACTGTGTGCTCAGGGCTACTTTCTGAGTGTACAATAGTGAGCAAAGCAGACAGGTTCTTGCCTCAGTTCATTTGCATTGTGATAAAGGAACACCTGAGGCTAATTTATTCAAGAAGCATAGTGCTAGCATCTGCTTCCTGTAAGGACCTCAGTCTGCTTCTACTCATGGTGGAAGGCAAAGGGGAACCCATGTATTGTATGATGAGAGAGGGAGAAAGAGGGAGGAGAGAAGGTGTCAGGCTCTTTTTTAACAATCAAATCTCCTGGTAACTAATAGACTGAGAACACACTCATTACCATGAGGACAGCACAAGGCTTTTCATGAAAGATCAACCTCCATGACCCAAACACCTCCCACTAGGGCTCACCTTCAACACTGGAGCTCAAAATTTCAACATGAGATTTGGAGGCAACAAATATTCAAACTATATTGGTCCCTGATATCACGAAGTTTGTAGGCTAGTGAGGAAGACAGCTATTAATCAAATTTTTACTTGACTGTAATAGGTGCTATAAAAAAGAAGGATATGGTTCAAGGAGAACCTCTAAAAGGAGGGCTTTCATTTAGATTGAAGTATCCAAAGAGCTGTTCCAAGTGAATTATGTTTGAGCAAACAGGGGATGGAGTTGGCCTTCAACAAAGTCCTTTATTGAAATGAGAGATGAGGAGTGGACTGCCAGACAGATCTTTCCCTATTCCTGGTCACTAGAGCATCCAATTATAGAATCCTGAAGAAATAATATCAAAAGGTCCAAAAACACCAAAGGTGAACCCAGTGACCCAAATACAGAGAGAACAGGAAATTATTCAAAGTCTAGTCATGCTTATTACAGAGACTCTAGTGCATAGTGTCTGGTATCAAACCAAAACTGAAGTCTGGCATTAAACCCCGTGTGACGTAGACAAATTAGTAACTCTCTGTAAGCCTCAGTTTCCCCCTCTGTAAGGTAGAAATAATAAGAGTCACATACCCCTGTGACTGTTAAGAGAATTAAATAATTCATAAAACTTGTAGCACAATTTCTTACACTACCCTTTAATAAATGTTAGGTGTTATCATCATCTTGGATAAGGATTTTTTACTGAGATATACAGTGATCCAGATATCATAAAATTCACCCATTTAAAATGTGCAGTTTGGTGCATTCAGTACATTCACAAAGTTGTACAACCATCACTATCTAATTCCAGAACATTTTTATCAGCTCAAAAATAAGCCTCATATCCATTAGTCACTCCGTTTCCCCTTCCCCTCCAGCCCCTGGCAATCACTAACCTACTTTCTGTCTCTATGGATTTGTCTATTTCAGTAATGTCATATAAGTGGAATCATATAATATATGGCAATTTGTGTCTACTGAGCATAATGTTTTCAAGGTTCATTGCTGTTGTATCAAGTATTCATACTTCTTTCCTTTTTATGGCTGAATGATATTCCATTGTATAGATATAATGTATACGTTATTAGTATACAAGTTTTTGTGTGAACATATGTTTCCAATTCTCTTGGGTATATATCCAGAAGTGGGACTGCAGGATCAAATGGTAACTCTGTTTAACTCTAGGGGGAAATGCCAAACTGTTTCCCAAAGCTGTTGCATCATTTTACATTCCCACAAGCAAAGCATGAGTATCCCAATTTTTCCACATCCTTACCAATACTTGTTATTGTCTGTCTTTTTTATTTTAGCCATCTTGGTGAGTGTGAAGTGGTATCTTCTTGTGGGTTTGATTTGCATTTCCCTAGTGACTAATGATATTTATTGAGCATCTTTTTCATGTGCTTATTGGCCATTTATGTATCTTCTTAGAAGAAATGTCTATTCACACCTTTGCCCATTGTTTAATTGAGTTATTTGTTCTTTTATTGTTGAATTGGATATGGCTGTTATTTTAAAACTTTTGGATACACTAAGTAAACTGCATTTCCAGCGAGAGACACACCACGCAGGACTGAAAATGGTTAGTCTAAGGGAATTCATGACAGATTTGAGAAACCATGATGAACAGAATTTCCAGCCAGAGAATTTCCAGCCAGACCCTTTCATCAACAGGAATGATTCCAAGGTGAAGGTGAACCACCACAGGATCCAGTTAGTCCCAGTTTCACTCTGTCATCCAAGCTGGAGTGCAGTGGCCTGGTGGTCTCCACTCACTGCAGCCTCAACCTCCCAGGTTCAAGTGATCTTCCCACCTCAGTCTCCCGAGTAGCTGGGACTACAGCAATATGGAGAAGGCATCAAAAACGTACTTCATTCATCCACCAACAGTATGAAGAGCTAGAAGCTCTGTTTAGCCAGACCATGTTCCCAGATAGAAATCTTCAGGAGAAACTAGCTTTGAAACTCAACCTACTGGAGTCAACAGTAAAGGCTTGGTTCAGGAACTGGCAATTCAGATTGAAGCAGCAGCAATCAGCAAAGCAAACAAACCAGATCCTTCCATTCAAGAAGAATGTGCCCACTTCCCCCTAAACACCCCCCAGTCTTTATGCTTTTTCTCCTGTGGTTTCAGATTTCTACACCTCCCTTCCACCTCAGCCCTTAGACCCTTCCAACTGGACCTGGAACTCTACCTTCACGGAAAGTCCCACAAGTGACTTCCAAATGCAAGATACTCAATGGGAGAGGCTGGTGGCCCCAGTTCCTGCTTTGTACTCTGATGCCTATGACATATCCCAAATCATAGAACTGTGCAATCTTCCTGATGAGAATGAGATATCCAGCTCTTCTTTCCACTGTCTGTATCAGTATCTCTCACCCACAAGGTACCAGGTAGGAGGACAGGATTTCTCTCTCAGCACTTTGCTGGTCCAGCTGTAGGCCTATCTCCCACACAAACCTGGCCCAGTATGACAAGCCAAAGCTTTGAAGCCTACAGTCTAACAGACAGCCTGGAATTCCAGAAAACCTCCAATACGGTAGACTTTGAATTTCTCTGACCAGAGTACTAATAAATATGGACCATTTTAAAAAGAGGTCTTCTTGCCTCTTGTACATAACTATTGTTTCCTTTGTCTCGTTTTAACCCAAACATCTGGGTCTGTGTCTCTGATTTCCATGGAAATGTTGCAAAAAGAGATTTCCAAGTAGAGCTGGGCACTACGCAATGAGCCCCACAATTCTCCCTGAGAAGCCTTCCTAGTCCCTTACATGGCCAATGAGACTCCAAAATTCCCCTCCCAAAACTATCCTGGAGTTTCTAAAAGTAGGACAGTGGTTTTGGGGGTTATCCACTTTATTTTTTTAAAAACTAGGACTCACTCTGTCACCCAGGCTGGAATGCAGTGGCACAATCATGGCTCACCAAAGCCTTGACCTCCTGGGCTCAGGTGATCCTCCCACCTCAGCCTCCTGAGTAGCTGGGACTACAAGTGCCTGCCACCACACTCGGCTAATTTTTTGTTTGTTTTTTGTTTTTTGAGACAGAGTCTCGCACTGTCACCCAGGCTGGAGTGCAGTGGCAGAATCTTGGCTCACTGCAACCTCCACCTCCCGAGGTTCAGGTGGTTCTCCTGCCTCAGCCCCCTTAGTGGCTGGGATTACAGGTGCATGCCACCATGCCCGGATAATTTTTGTGTTTTTGGTGGAGATAGGGTTTCACCATTTTGCCCAGGCTGGTCTCGAACTCCTGACCTCCAATGATTCGCCCACTTTGACCTCCCATGGTGTGGGATTGCAGGCATGAGCCACCGAGCCCAGCCAATTTTTGTATTTTTCGTGGAGGCAAAGTTTTGCATATTGCCCAGGCTGGTCTCGAACTCCTGGACTTAACGTCATCCACCTGCCTCAGCCTCCCAAAGTGCTAGGAATACAGGAGTGAGCCATCACACCCAGCTGGGTTATCCAGTTCAAAAGAATTTTTTTTTTCAAGGTAACCAGAGAAGCCATCATCCACTTTTCTCTCTGTATCATTCTGATTTTAGTATATGTGTTGCGGAAGTGAGTATACACTATCATCCACTTTTAATGAGAGAAAGTTATAAACTTACCTTTTGTTTCCAATTTTTAGGGTTTTTTTGTTTGTTTTTTGTTTTTTTGTTTTGTTTTGTTTTTGTTTTTGTTTTGGAGACAGCACTCTTCCTCCAGGCTGGAGTGCAGTGGCACCATCTTGGCTCACTGCAGCCTCTGCCTCCTGGGCTCAAACAATCCTCCCACCTCAGCCTTCTGAGTGTCTGGGACTACAAATGCGTGCCACCATGCCTGGCTAATTTTTGTATTTTTAGTGGAGAAGTGGTTTCGCCATGTTGCCCAGGCTGAATTTGGGGTTTTTTTAAAGGGGACTTTCAGTCCAAATTTGAGGGGAAATAACTATCACCACTAGTTTTAATATAGTATAATGAAAAAATATATATATAGTACAATGGTCCAGACATAATAAGAGGTGTAAAAACTAGCATAGGAAGAAATAAAAACAGATTTTTGAAGGTGAGATGATAAACTCGCAAAATAAACAAAATAAATAGTCAAACTTTTAGAATGACATTTTAGCACATTTTCCAGCCACGTGATCATTCTACAAAATTAATATCATTTCTGAACACCAGTAATAAAGAAACATAAGGTAAGTACCTCTCAATAAAAAATGTAAAAGTACCTAGGAATTCACGAAGAAAATTAATACCTCTGTGGAGAAAACTTCAAAACTTAAAAAAAGACATAGAAAATGTTTTGAATAGGCCGGGCACAGTGGCTTATGCCTGTGGTCCTGGCACTTTGGGAGGTCAAGGCGGGCGGATCATGGGGTCAGGAGATCAAGACCATCCTGGCCAGCATGGTGAAGCCTCGTTTCTACTAAAAGTACCAAATAAATTGGCTGGGTGTGGTGGTGCATGCCTGTGGTCCCAGCTACTCGGGAGGCTAAGGCAGGAGAATCGCAAGGATTGAAATCACGCAGTGTGTTCTCCAAACACGATGGAATGAAATTAGAAATCAATAGTGGAAGAAAATTTGGGAAATTCACAAATATGTGGACATTAAACAATACATTTCTAAATAACCAATGGTTAAATGGGAAATCACAGTCTGAGCAACATGGCAAAACTCTGTCTCTGCAGAAAATGGAAAATTGGCTGGACATGGCAGCCAGAGCCCATGCTCCCAGCTACTCAGGAGGCTGAGGTGAGAGGATCCATCCCCCGAGCCACAGAGGTCGAGGCTGCAGTGAGCAGTGACTGTGCCACTGCACTCCAGGTTGAGCAACACAGTGATACCATCTCAATAAATAAATAAATAGAAGAAATCGTAAGTAAAATTGGAAAATACTTTTAACTGAAAAAAAAAAAAACCAAAAACAGAAGCACAACAAACCAAAACATGGGATGAAGCTAAATCAATGCTAAGAAGGAAATTTATGGCTTCAAATACTTACATATATATTTTAAAAGGTCTCAGATCAATAAGTTTTATACAGGAAGGAAGCTGGCATAGTTTTACTAATATTTGTCAAATTAAACTTTAAGGGAAAACTTTTTTATTGAGATGGAGCCTTGCTCTGTCACCCAGGCTGGAGTGCAGTAGTGTGATCTCGGCTCACTGCAACCTTTGCCTCCAGAGTTCAAACGATTCTGCTGCCTTAGCCTCCCAAGTGGCCGGGACTACAGGTGTACGCTACCATGCCAGGCTAGTTTTTGTATTTTTAGTAGAGATGGGGTTTTGCCATGTTGCTCAGGCTGGCCTCAAACTCCTGAGCTCAAGTGATCCTCCCACTTCAGCCTCCCAAAGGGCTGAGATTGCAGGTGTGAGCCACCTTGCCTGGCCAAAACAGTTTTTTAGAAATAAAGTATATTAGACAACAGCAAAAGGAACAATTAACCTGAAATATATAACTCCAAACTTGTATATACTTAACATATACTCAAAATATATGAGGCAAATTGTAACAGAAATTAAAGTTCTTAAGAAAACTTCACCAATACATAGTCATAATGTGGCATATTCATACAACACTCTCAATAATTGATAATAACAGTCCAAAGAAAGCAGAAAGAAGGAAAGCCTAGAGTAGAAATAAATGAAATAGAGAATAGAAAAGCAATAGAGAAAAAAATTATGAAATCAAAAGCTGGTTCTTTGAAAAGCTCAACAAAATGGCAAACATTTAGCTAGATTGACCGACCCCCAAAAAGACTCAAATTACTAGAATCAGAAACAAAAGTCAAGATTTTATTACCAACCTTATAGAAATAAAAATTTTTAGAAATAAATAATATGAAGAATTGAACACCAACAAATTAGATAAATGAAATGGACAAATTCCTAGGAAGACACAGAATACCTCATCTGACTCCACAAGAAATAGATGTTGCGAATAGAGCTTGCCATGGTGTGAATGTGTCCCCCACAGCTCACGCATTGGAAACTTAATCCCCCAAGCAACAGCGCAGAGAGGTGGGGCCTTTAAGAGGTACTAGGCAGAGCCCCCATGAATGGATTAATGCCATTGTTGTGGGAGTGGGTTAGTTATCTCAGAAGTGGGTTCCTGATAAAAGGATGGGTTCGGCCCTCTTCTTCTCCAAATCTTTATTCCTACCCCCACCCGTCTCTCTCTCTCTCTCTCTCTCTCTCTCTCTCTCTCTCTCTCTCCCCTCCTCCTCTCCCTTCCTTCTGCCATGGGAGGATGAAACATGAAGGCCCTGGCCAGATATGGCCCCTCCATCTTCCATTTGAGGCTGGAAGACTTCCCAGCCTTCAGAACTGTAAGAAATAAATCTCTCGTCTTAAAAAAAAAAAATTGTTCACTTCCACTGATCCTAGAAAAAATCAGCTCTCCAAGAAGGAGTAGATCATTGTTACTTGCTATCTGCCTTAGTAAATAGCAGATGCCTCAGAATTGGGAGGCATGGAGGTTCTTTCATGGCTAGAAAAAGCACTACAGACATGGTCTCCCTACTCTCATCTCCCCTTCTCCAAAGACTCGTTCTCTTCCTTCCTCGTGTTAGAAATTCTATCTAGCCCCCTCTTTCTCACCTCTGAGCACTCATGTGTCAGTCTCATGGTGCCATCTTGAGACATTTACCTATATAGGTAGAGTCCCGAGGAACAGGAAACTAGAGACAGTGGGAAGGAGCATGCCAGAGGTGTTTGGCCCACGACCTTTTACAAATACAGAGCCTGGCAGATGGCAACAAAAAGTACAAACACCTTCCCTTCTCTGATCTCTTATCTCAATGCTAAACCTTGTCATTACTGAGGCTGGCAGAGAGGCACCATGATGGGGGAGATCCCAGAACTAGTGATGGAAAGGGAGTTCTTACCCTGTCAGAAACTCTGTGGCCTTTAAGCAAGTTACTTTCCTTCTCCAAACTCGGTTTTCTCCCCTTGCGAAGTAAGGGTAATAACACGTGTTCTGCCTGTCTTGCAAGATTTTTGTGAAGATAAAATGTGCTAAGGTATGTGAAAGGGCCTTGTAAAATGCTATATAAATGAAAGTACTATTACCCAGGAGTAAGAACTCAACTTGTGTATAGCATCACAGTTGTAGTTGAATAAGTTCCAGGATATTAAATATCTTTATACATCACTTCTGGGTAACTTGTGCAATATATAGTTTATATGTGGAGTGTAATTTTTCACTTGGGGTATTGTTTTACTGTGTAAGTCCTAGTTATTTACAGAGGCTTTATTTGAAAATGAGCTAACACGTTCAAATTCCCCACATTCAATTTATTCACACATAGACATGTTAAATAAGAACTTCTTATTTTTCTGCTCTGATATTTCATCAAACTAAAATAAATGTTTAATATTATATATTTTAAGTATTTCAATATCTGGAGTAGAATTGTTGTATGATTTATTCTGAGCACTTATATAGTGCCAAGTAGTATGTTAAACATTATGTCATATAATCCTTACCACATCCAAATGAGAGTGTAATCATTATTCCCACCATTTCTGAGAGGGGAAAACTGAGACTAAACAAAATCACATCACCACCTGGTAAGAGACTAAGCTAGGATTGGAAATATAGTGTGCTTGACCCCAGATCTCACCTCTTAAACTCCATGTTTGTAATATGCCAAGGAGAAAAAGAACACTGAAGAACTGGAGGGTGATTCTTCTGTGTGCATTTGAACTATTTATTTCCACATGTCATTATAAGATT